CTGCATTTACATATCCGTAATGTTTCCGGAAAGATCTAGATAAGTATACTCTACCGAAGCCAGTCGAAAGTCGAACATATTGTCCATTACCAAGAACAGCATCGCCACTGGCAACGAATAGCAAATGTTAACCAGTTGCTCGTTGAATTCGTCGTCGTCAGAAAATCGATCGTGGATGCGTCGTATTTCGAGCTCATTAATTCCAGCCTTTTGAATATCAAAAAGTTCCTATTTCTGAAGTCGGATGCGATAACGTTTACCAGCGAATAAGCCGCAGGCTGATATACAGGCACTTGGGTTTCCGCCAAATCTAAATGTGTAATGGGCGTTGAAGGAAATGTAAATTGCATGTCTATAAAAGAAGGTTTAAATTTCATGTTGAGACAAATATAATACCCAATTCCTAGGATAGTTTGAGAAAAATTGATTATTCCCTTCACATTTTATCCCTTTGTTTCCGTAGGCATCGAAGCATTAAAATCGTGATTGTATAGGTAACTTTAATCATTAATTGTCGGTTAAATGGGAAAGACCAAACTATTTAATTTTAGTTTGCAGTTCCTAGCACATATTTCCACTTTAACAACACAAAAAATTATGCAAGTGTTCTACCTATAATGCCATTTACAATTGTTAATAATTAATAAAACAGAATAATCTGCATTTGTAAAATTAAACAAAAGAAAAAAACAAGCAATTGGCGTATTAAAAGAAATGTTTTAAGGCCATAGAAGTTCATCGAATTAATTTGTGGATAATAGGGTCGTCTTTTTCTGCTAGCATGCCATTTTTATTTACAAAATTTAAACGAAATGTGTAATCTAACAGATATATTACAGACATCAAATTGCAACAAAATATGTAACAAAAAAAAATCTCCTCATACCTTTAACGAACCAGTATAAAGCAACAACAACAATGCAATGATTGATTTGATGCTATTGCCTCTTCCTCCTAACCATATTTTTTTATGCACATTCAGTTCAAATTTACTTAGCTCTATCTGATGCGATGGATGTTGAATACTTATAACCTTTGTTATCACAACGCAAACTCATATTATTATTGGTAAATAGCTAAATATTAATCCATTAAAGTGACCAGAGTGTTGGAATTGGAAAGATAATCCACAAGGATGTCACTAGCATTGCCAGTGTATTCTCCAGTTAAATTGGATTCCCTACCTAACAATCAGCATACAAAGTAAAGTAATTACACGGTCTTGGCCCAAGTCTACGTATTGTACGTAACACTTTCGCCTGTTTTAAAAGTATTCTGCTTACGGACTACTTGACCACTGGCACTGATGCACTGTAACCCACATCGAAGGCGAATGTGCCAGAGACAGGTTTTGGGTAAACTTGTTAACTTCACGAGGGTTTGAAACTCCCCCTTTGATGTTTTCACCACACCGGCAGGTATTTTATTTAGCTCCCGGTGCCCTTCGCTGTAACGTGGTTGGAATAACATTATGCTGAATAATTTTCGCTTCATGAAAATATGGGGAACAGAAAAAGCGAGAAATCCTTTTTATTTTATGCTTAACAAGAAAGTTTTGTACACACGTCAGCAAGTCGTATTGTATTGTGTAAAACATAATGTAAATTATGACCAGTGTATAGTTTATGAATAGTGAAACTGAAAAACTGATTGTATTTATTAAAAACTCAAAAGTCTAAATTTAAAATAGATTTTTCGTGTTTAATAATTCATTTTCATTTTGTTAAAGATATACTTAAGTTTGTTTAGTTATTACTTTAAGATGTGTATTTCTAATATCACAAAATAATGCGTTTTAATGTACAATGGAAGTATTCGGGAACAAAACCAAAAAGGTGTGTTGCATTTTAGAAACCTGGAGGAACTGCTAAATTACTGAACTTTTAAAAAAATAATAATAAAATTTATTTGTAAATTTTATTTGCAATATAACTTTATTCTTACCAACTCTTGTAAAATACACTTCAAAAATTAAAAAAAAAGAAAAATTTCATTATCCTAAAATATTATTGTTGTTGTCTTATATTTTTATTCTACACGCACGTACATGCTTCAATACGTCAGCTGTACGTACCACTTTGTTCAGGAGATGGTTAGTCTGGCGTATTTCTGCTAAGGTGCACCACACACTGAATACTGAATAACAATATTCCATTGGTAAGCATATCAACTTAGTTAATTTTGGATGGAATTTAAACTTCACCCGCAATTAAGTGAACGACCGACCCCCTGGTGCTGACTGGCTAATGATTTATATCACCTAGCTTTGGATTTCGACTCTAATGTACTCTAATTTTCGTTTCGTCGAAGTGTCATGGGGTCAATTGTGATTCTAGTCTGAAATTTAGCGACACTTTGGTGGAGCCGCCTCGTGTTAACAATTAGGATTTGAAACTTATTCGCACAGGTGAGTAACATTTTTTAAGTATCGAAGAGTGTAATGCAAGGATTAATTAAAAACTGTCATCTGACAGATACCGGCCACGTCATTTTGATATCACAAATTGATAATAAACGTGATAATATTTCCAAACATTTTCTATTAGAAAGTTTTTAAATATAGGAGATAATTTTTAAGCTCTGTGCAAAGCTTCTTCTAATTGGGACTCCCATCTAGGTATTAAATTTATAAGAGCATAATTTTCTTGCCAACGCAGAGAAAAAGACGAGCGAGACTAAAATTTATAGCCCGGAACAAGGGACGGTATATTGACTAATTAAAAAGCAGATTATCCCCTATGGTTCTCGGTTCTATACCGTAGACCAAAAACCACCACGAAAAATAAAAGTTCGTAATTAAGTTCACTTTTGGCATTAATTAATTTTAGTTTATGAAGGGGCGTTTTGTTTTACAACTTAAGTTCTCCCCCCATAGTACCATAAAAGTAAGCGGGCTATTTTAGTTATTTATTTATGGATTTATATTTAACTGTTTCTTTTTATGGTAAGTTGTCAAGTATGAAAAATGAAAAATTCTAAAAAATATGTCTATTTAGGTGTCAACTGAAAGTTTTTTCCACTTCAAAGTCAAGCCCAGTTCAAGGAAGAAGTTCTACTAGGAATTCAATAAGTTCACACTAATCAATTAAGACACAAAATATGTGAAGTTGTAGCTGAAGCAGCTCGAAACCTAATAGATGCGGAAATAAACAATAAATCAAAGGATTGAATTTTTGCAAGTGCTCAAAGATGCTGCCTTACAGATGGTCATTGTCATTGTTAGCTTTTGCTGAATAATATCAAATTCCTTTTGTTATCGCGGTTATTTACTTACATAGGAAACGTAACAAAAAACAGGATAATCCCATAGAATGAAGAGTGGCATCTATGAAATTAACTTTAAATAAATGCTTATTTGTAGTACTTTGGTACATGAGCGAGGAGTGAAACATGACGTCAACAAGTCCACATAAATTCATCCCTAAACACGACGGGGTTATTCGGTTCCTCTTCTTCTCTTCTCTGTGCCAAACGGATAGATACTTATACTTGTTGGTTAATTACTAGATATCATTGTAGCTAGTAACGCCTTTAGGGCCCCAATCTGTACTAATAATCTGCAAAGGTACTGAGGCAGATCAGCATCATATCGCGAAGAAATCGGTTTTGGAGTTTTGATGTATTATAAGTCTCACTCTCAGTACTAATACTAAGCCAATGTATTAACACAGATCTTTTATTTTATTTTTTATATTTTAGATGTTATGAGCTTTGATAGATTCATTGTCTAATATTGGAATTCCGCCTATATCGACGTCTCGGTGTTGCGGTGCCGGTAAAATTTTGATCACACAAAATTGCATCGTTTGTCATTAACGTAATTAATAACGTCGTGAGAAGTGGAAGCGACAGTAAAACGCTTAATCACATGTCAGCCGCTGCTTAAAACGGGTTTGGGGTTGCCATTTTTGCCGTATCGGACATCGAACGTAGTGAAGAAAAATTAGGAAAGTCAAAAAAGCCATAAATTATGGAGCACGAGCCGATTTGATTTTCGGTTTGACACGGGTCATTTGTTAACTTGTTAAAAAAATTTATTGAAAAATTATTTCAATATTATTTGCTCCGATCTATAAAACCATTGCTAATATGCAATATTTTTTGAATTTTCGGATATTTAGAATATTTGGTAAATAGGAAGTTTTAATATAACCTTAATTTAACATAAGATTTTCCACAAAACTTAATTAAATTCAATTCAGTTTTCTGACTTTCCATTCAAACATTTAAAAAATATATTTAAAAAAGATGTTTAAATATTCGTCCCAGACCATGCTTGGGAGGCGCAGATGAAATCAAAGAAAAAATATTGTCTAAGGCTTGGTGACGTGTACTGCGGTAAATAAAATTAAGTTACAAAACGAAATTAACTTTAACAAAAAATTTATAGCTTAAGATTCTGGTCCTCAGTTCATCGACTAGAAAATTAAATAAATGTAATATAATTATTACTAGAAAAATTCTAATGGTATAAAGATTTTCCACAGAACTTAATTAAATTCAATTCAGATTTCTGATTTTCCATTCAAATATTATTGTGTTTTTTGATATAAATGTATTAGGATTCGAACATAACCTGGAGACGGTATTTTTGTACATAACCTCAACGTACCTGCATCTAAACTCAAAAAAAAAAGTTCAAATATTCGTCCCAGACCATGCTTGAGAGGCGCAGATGAAATCAATGAAAAAAACATTGGCTGAGGCTTGGTGAAGTGTACTGCGGTAAATAAAATTAAAGTTTCTTTGCTACAACACGAAAATAGTGAAGCATTGCCTAGTTTCCAGAAAAATATGAAAGTTTCGACAAGGCTTTCACCCTTTTGCTTATCTTTGAAATGCAGCAGCTTATTTTAGCCACCCGTCAGGGAAGTAACAAGTGCCCTTACATACCAATCCACATAGCAACGATTTTAGCTAGATTCCTGCTGAAATAAACTAAAAGTACCACTTACCAGCTGAGTTTACATACGATACATTGTAGCTACGATTCTACTTACCTATTTTTTCTGGAGAGAACAATTTGACGCTCGTCAACTTACAACTTCTATTTCTATCGCTAATCACATCAGCCACAACCACAACTCACACCATTCAGAGATCGGGTGGCGTCAGTTCATGACAGCCTTGAGGCATCGCTACCGCAGCTTCGGATCACACTCACACTCACGAGTTTTTTTATTTCAGTGGACGAAAAAAAAAATAAATTCGAGATAGGGGTTGCGTTACGAGCACACGACTCACACTGAGACCGTTCTTCGGGGCGCAACGTATCGACCGATGTTTCGGCGCTACGCTTGCCCCATCGCTCGGAGCGATAGAGTTCGTGGGGGCGGATGTGTCATTGTGCCATTTGTTGGGTCACCAAGAAAATTTCGAATAGATCAATTGTCGATTTTGCTACCATATATATGCTAACTCGTTGGGAGCTTATCTCAGTGTGGATCATTACTAGGCGCATGCGTGATTTCAGAAGATTGAAGCATGTTCAAACACTCATCAAGTTACCCAAATGACAGTTTATTCTGGAAGTTCTTAATTTTCAAATGTAAATTTTAGAATGAATATAGAACAGAAATATTTTATATCAAAAATGTTTTTTTCATTTTTTTCATAATCAGTAAAAGCAACAAGTGATATACCTATGATCATATCCATTATTGGTTGTAATGGATACCCAGCACCTCTGTCCTGTCGTATGGAATGTTCTTGTCTTCTACTAGGTTGGGCTTTATATTTGTTTTTAAAGCCACTAAAAAATATATTGAAAAATTTCCAAAATTGACCGTCATTGTCTCTTTCGTTGGAAAGAATATTTCTTTTCGTGCACGGATCAAATACATATATAAATTTAACTTTTAAGGAAACAATGCGCATTTTCTTCAAGTAATTTTATTCTATTATTATTACTTATTCTATTTTGGTTAGTTCTAGTTAGTTTCCTTGGTTTGATATTTCAGCACAATGTTATACTATGGTTGGTAACACAATTATGAGATATTACAACTCCCTTGTAGTACAAAAATAGTTAATGTATTTATACATCGTCAGTGGGCGGGGCAAGTTCGTAGCGTGTAGCGCGGACCAGATTTTTATTTCAAAATGAAGCCAATTCTGTTTTTTTTCCTTGAAGGACGCATTGTTTTTCAGTTCAGTTCCTACGGACCACTTTCGAAAAATCGAAGTAATTGAATTGTGCATGCATCCTGCATAAAACGTTTTTCACATCTCGTCGAACTTCAAACTTACGGCCAACTTTGGTAAATATTAAAATTTGTACTGGTAATTGCGATTTACTATTATAGTATTATAGTATTATAGACGAAAACTCTCCCTCGACACAGTTTACGAGACTCTTCAAATCAAATTATCCCTAACAGTTTTTCATTTATCGCCAATAATTTACCCAAAAAAACAATGGAAATTTTTAGGATCTTAAGATTTTTTACCCACAAACGACACACCCTGTATATAAACGATGTTTGAAAATGGAGGGTTATAGACATGGTTCTTCCAGGTTCACCGGTATATGAAATTTTCCAGTAGAGTAAATGGTTATCGAGAAAATACTTGTTTTCTGAAACAATTCAGTACGTCGTAATCGTAAATGACGTCCTCGTGTCTAAATTGAGGGCGAGAAATGGTGATTTTCATTTGGATTTTTTGATACACCTTAAAAAAAAAAATTGTAGGCTTCGATGTGATCTATAACATAGTTTAAACCAATTAGACATATTTTTTACGAAATTTGATTTGCGGTTAATAATTTATCCCAGAAAAGTACAATTTTCACGGTCTTTTAGATTATTGTCCATAATTGAAAAATCCTGTTTATAATCGAAAAAATTCCTGAAATGGAAGTTATAGCACCAGATATAACGCATTTCTCGGTGGTAAAATTTTGCCGATCGGTTAAATAGTTTTAGAGAAAATCATGTTTTTCTGGAAGCCAAAATAATCAAATAAAAATTTTCAAAAATATTTGGCGACACTTGATACTGTTTAGATGTGGTAACCGACTTTGACTTCCTTATCAAATTTAAAGCTGATAGCTATATATTTGAGTCACTTATAATCTTTTTTGAATATAGAACTGAATATCCCGAACACCCTGTACAATATGTGAAAACTTTAAAGATAAAAGTTTTAGCTGAGTGAGTCCAATTTTTAGTTTTTTGCAAATTGGCGACGGAACCTGTACATTTTTAAAAAATCATCAGAGGTAAAGATTTTTTGGCCAGATCTTGCGTGTCATTTGGTTAAAGAATTTTTTCGGCCGTATATACCGTTTTTGAGAAATGACTTTTTTTCGAGACCCTGCAAACGCGGTTTTTAAATATTTAAAAATACTTCCCTGCCCGCAGCACACCCAATTTCAGTAGGTTCCGTTAGGGGATTAAACTCTACATATGTGCCAATTTTGAAATCAATAGCGGTAAATCTCGGACACTTATCGTGTTTCAGAGCAATGTATGAAAAACAGACGAAATTCGAAAAAAAAAAGACAGATGTCAATTACCAATCGCCGCCATTTGCTTTAGGCTTATGTATCTCGTGGCCAGTTTAAAAGGAGCAAAATTTCAGCATCCTGGCTTCAACGGTTCCGAAGTTATTCGCGTTTTTATGAAGGGCCTACAGAGAACGGAGAACGGACAAACAGACAAAAAGAAGTTTTTTTTTGACGCCGTGTATCAATGGGGGGACCAACCGTTGCTGAGATATCAGTTTCGCGGCGTTCCGCTCGTGCAAAATCAAACTCGTGACTAAAATGGCATTTATCAAACTTGCTGTCTATTGTACTATGGGTATAAGTTACCTAAGTTGAAAAACGAAGTTATCCTTTACAAAATTTTATAGCTTAATAATCCAGTCCTTATTTAATCAACTAGAGAATTAAATAAGTGTTTTTAAAACTTATTTTATTTTTTTTATTTATTCCCTGGAAAGTCTGAGCTAAACATGCATTATTTATTTTGAAAATTATGATGGAATGATTGCTGATTAAAAAATTGTAATTATTTCTAGCTTGACCTATGGAGAAATTCTAATGCTATAAAGCAAACTTTACATCATGTAGTAATGAGAATGGGCGATATTTTACTATAGCATATTTGGTTAAATAATAATATTTCCGTGAGCACTTAGGACTACTTTTTATTTAAGAATGTTCAACTAAAATCTGTCAGCTGTAGTAAGTGTGTGTGTGTGTAATATTCTCTGCGAGTAGACTAATTAATATCTACTTTTTAGCGCTCATTTCCACGAAATCAAAAAATGGCAGGCGTTAAAATTGAATGTGACATGAAACCTTCACAACGTTGTTATCTTCATACATCGATGTTTAGGATATTTTATTACTGCAGACTACAATTAGTTAAGTGAAGTACTATGACAATAAAAACTAATCAAAAATATTCTAAGTGCTTGACAGATTATGATTCTATTGAATATTAAATTAATTTTATATTATTAATTCAGAAATACCCTAAATACACGTGAAATTTGTCAGCTGTAGTAAGTGTGTGTGTGTAATATTCTCTGTGAGTAGAAAAATTAATATCTACTTTTTAGCGCTCATTTCCATGAAATCAAAAAATGGCAGGCCTTAAAATTGAATATGACAGAAACCTTTACAACGTTTCATACATCAATACATACATCGATATTTAGGATATTTTATTACTGCAGACTACAACTAGTTAGGTGAAGTACTATGACAATAAAAACTAATCAAAAATATTCTAAGTACTTGACAGATTATGATTCTATTGAATATTAAATTAATTTTATATTATTAATTCAGGAATACCCTAAATACACGTGAAATTTGTATTACTTAAACATTCCTGGCAAGCGGCTCCGTGTGGCAAAAATGCATTTCTTTTTATTGGGTGTCTATGCATTTTCAATCGTCTTTCCTCCATGCATTTTTGGGGTGACTCCATTCAATTTAAAATCATCCGCGAATTCGTATCATGTAGAGTACGTTCCATAAGATAGGCTACATACAGTCCAACTATCCAATTATAAGAGATCACTAATTAAATGAGAAGAAAACACATTTCCCGGGAACAAAATCAGCTTTCGCCAAAAAAAACTGAATTGTAACAACACGGTGGCCAGAACGATGGTAGGGAAAATAAATAGGAAACAATTAGATGTTTTTAAAAAACTTTTACTGAATGCTGGTGAACGTAGAACCAAGGTTTAATGAATCTTTTTGATATATTGTGTTCCAACAGGGAACATTCTTATCTGTTTTATGGAGTCAACAATTGATAATTCAACAATTTAAATTATTTTTCCTCCAGCGTGAGTGAGTGTTGAGAATAACACGTTGTTGAGGTTTCTATCTTTGAGCTTACCAAAACTTTTGCTGTTTATTATCAGATACGTTGACACGTCTGAAAACTATGACTGGAGTCGTCCTTCCTACAGATTTTTTTCGAAAACATCACACTGTGCAGCAAATTTAGCGATTCAACATGCCAAAAGACATAAATGTAACTTTAATTATCGTCCTTCGGGAAATATAAACTTTAGAATTCCTCTAGCTTATTGGGAAAACAAGTCTTCGTCAAGGAAATTAGCATAAACATCCCCGTAATTTTGAATTTCGTCGCTACATCTCTCGAAACGTGATTTAAATAAAACCTTGGAAAAAAATCTTGTTCGCCATCTACCATCCGGAATATTAAAATATTTTAGATTGAAATTATAAAATTATGGATATTGGGACCACGAAATAAATAATTTCATCAATTAGACAGTAATCCTAAGCAGAATAAGACTTGCAGAATTTTTTGCAGTGGTTTCGCAATTTGGAATTAAAGTTTTATCAAACGAACGCACTCACGGGAAAATTACACAAATTGTACATAAAAAATCAATCTTCTCTTCGATTTTTTTTTACTTAAAAACGTTGGGATCGCACAAACAACAAAATTTGTTACGGTATTTTCTTCTTCTAGTTCAAAAATATCCATATTTCTTGACTTTATTTCTGTTTTATATTCTTAATGTTTTGGTTTTTTGATATTGTCACTTATAGATTAGCGTTTCTTAAAATAAACAATTATTTAAAAGCCTTATCAATGTGATAAGAAGTATATAAATGTACAGGGTCTGTCAAAACAAAACACTTAAGGGGGTGATTTCTTGTTTAAAATAAAAGGTGGTTTGTTTTATAAACGTTGGATTAAACGCTAACCATCAGGCTAGTATGGCGC